CCACCAGCATGAAAGGCCACTGGGAGCTGAAATCAGGTGCAAAGGGAGCTTGGTGAGCATTTAATGCCAGAGCTTGGCCATCAGCTCAGAATCTACTATTATTAATATGAGCTGCAGTATTTCTAAGATTTCATTTAAATAAATGGAGCAAACCAAAATGGCATTAATACTGAAAGGCGACACCAGAAGAGAGTGAGTAGCTAGTAAAGAGCAGCGTAGATTGGACATTCAATATGTGGTGGAAATTGCACATCCTTCCTGGAAGGAGCTGTTTGCAGTCCTTTGGTAGTTTTTTCTATCATATTAGTTCTGTCTCTGAATTCGCCTGGGCTCTGTTCTTGTACACTAACCCCAATTGTGCTCCAGGATGTTCCTGCAGTTGTAGCGTAAAGGATGACCTCTTGTATCCAGCACCTTTTTGCATGGGTGGAGTGGAGAGCAGCTCTCCGTGAACCTTCAGCTTGTGCTTCTCCGTGCTGCTTCCTCTCAACGCTCTTCTCTCTTTGGCGCTGCCTAACTCTGACTCTGGCTGTTCATGGGGTTTTCCTTTGTGCTTGATCTAACCATGTGGTAGAACAATACAAATTGAACATGGTTCTGTCAAGCACCATGGAAGGCTGCATACTCCCTGCCGCATGGCATGCTGGGATACTTCTGCTGTTTTCAGAAGCATCAAAAGGTGAGAGATTCCCATTTTCTCACAGGAAAAATGAAAAAGGTGAAGTATTGCTTAACCAGACTCCTGGACACTGCAGAGGGGAGCCCTGGTGATGTTTGTGACAGACTTTCCAGAGGGCTTGCATGCAGAATAACCATTTCTCTGTAAATAATCTGTTTAATTGCTCTTAGAATGAAGAAGTTAGGCATCCTGTTGATTGATATGATTCAAGGGTGATTCCAGCCATACCTACAGAGATGAAAAACCATCTTTGTCTTCTTACTTTATAAATAATGTAAGCTACATCTCTCTGAGCTGGCCAGTGGGTCCTTCTACTTTTGAGGTACACTTTGGATGCCATTTCTGTAACAAGATGCCTGCTACTTAATGTAACTTTGGACCTGATCTGAGCAATCTTAATGCACTGGCATTTCTTTATGAAGTATACTGCAAAAGAACTTCAGAAGAGTTTGCAAAGCATTGTCTTTTATCTCTTGAAATGACATGGGTAACATGACCTGTACAAAAACAGTACTATCCAATAGTTACATGGTACAAAGCTGAGTCAGCATACCCAAACGGGCCACTTTAGCTTTGACAGCTTAGGTAAGATCTTTGACATACTTCTGCCTAACTTCCCCCCTATATATAAAGTAGAGGTAATTACACCTACTCGTAAAGGCCTTTGAGAGCCTCATACAGAAGTTTTCTTACAAGGAAATACTGACTCATCTTGCAGATTTGCTACATATCTGTTGTGGAGCCATCAGAAGAAGGACATCTGAGATTCTTAGGTTTTATGTGTAATTACTGATAAGAATTAATACTAGCAATGTGAAATTATGACAAACAATGTACCTCCTTTTTTTCCCCGAAAACCTGTAAGACTTGTGATCTAGTGGTTACATGAAGAAGTGAGTGTCAGCATTCACGGATTTTTGTCCAAGTTTTAGACCAAGCGATCTCTGTGATCGTGTTGTTGGTGCCAAATTTGAGGCAGCTGCATCCATCTTTTCAAGAATGAATATATTGGGTCAGTATTCAAGCCCCGGTTCAGACAGCTTGATTGTTTCCAGAACAGAAGATCATCCAGCACTCCTTTTAAGTTCTTTGAGCGAAGCTAAGTTTTAAAAAATGAAATCAGGTTTGCTAAACAATGCTTAAAAAGAAGAGTGGGACAAAAAGGTATTTGTCTCTGTTGCTTAATTTCTCAATGTGGGCATTAGAAAGACACCTAAAATTTTTGAGCACTTGGAAATGTGATGTTTCTTTATCTCAAAACTGCTGTTTTGTAGAATGGCATGTGTGTTTGTTTTATGATACCCTGGTATCTGATAGTGGTGTCACATAGGTTGTGAAATGAAAATCTTATCAGAGTAACTAGCAATTCAGATAAAAACACAGTTGTCCTCAGTCAAACACAGACCTTGCTGTTGCCTTGGCAAACTTAAATCTTTTAAATTTTGGAAAATACTAGAAACTCCCAGGTCACATTTTACATTCAGCCAAGCTTCACAGAGTTCTGAGCTACAGTACACACATGTTTTCAGGTATAATAAAATGACCAAATGGCTGGTCTGGAATAGTAAAATGCAGCCAAGTGTGTCTTCTGTGCCTGTCCTGCATCTCTTTTCCATGGCTTTCCACAGGTGATTTTATAATGTGCAAGAAGTACCACATGCATGTGATGGTTAATTGTACTTCCTGAATCCTGTCATGTTCACTCAGAGCCCTGCAGTAGTACACTGATAAAGCCCTGTGTGTAGAAATGGATATACGCACTTAAATAGTTCTGCAAGCAGATGGCTGAATTTCACATTAGTATCCCAGATGGGAATATCTTAATAGACCAGCCACCTGTCCAAGTGATCTCCAGGCTCAGGTCAAACAGTAAATTTTATCTAGTCTTTTGCAGGTGATTCCTTTGTCTCACAGTCTGACGGATGACTGAGTACTTGCTAGGCATGTACCTCCTATTGATTACGTTTGACTTGATGTTTACCTGGGTAAATATTATTCAAACTCATTTAGAAGAAAAAAAAAGGGGTAAAAAAAAAAAAGAGACCACAACAGAAAGAAAAGTGCGAAGGTAACATTTGCTCCCTTCCTCTCCTCCGGTCCTCCTGAGCTGGGAGGGCTTTCCCCTGTTGCAAGTGTGGAGGCAGTGGACTGATGCCCTGGCAAGATCAAGTTCTTATAGATGATGCAGTGTGGAAAGTTGTATGCCATCAAGAGACTGAGAATGCTCAGTCAAAATGTGGTAAATATTCTTTATTTACTTTGCCAGAAAGCTTGAGGTAAAACCAAAAACTTGATTTTCATCTCGTAATATTATATACCCTGTTTTCTCCTTCATAAAGCATTCCACTTACTTTCTCATCCTTCTTTTTTCCCATAAAAAGATGAATCTTGTATCAGTAGACTAAAAATTGTACTTAATTTTTTTTACCCTGTGTAACTTCGTGACGTTTGTGATTATTCTTTCAAAGAAAGCTTTTCCAATGAAAATTAGAAGTGCTTCTTCAAGGGTTAATTTGAGGATTTCCAAGACACTTTCTGATCAATGAAAAATTTTGGCGAGATTTTCAAGGTGTACTGTAATTGTAGTAGTTTTAATAAACTCTGGTCCTGATAAATGTTCATCTTTGGCATTATTTCGAAGGAATCATAAACAACCAAATGTACTGTTTCATAAACCTAAGAAAGAATAGCTGTATGTTCTTGTAATCAAGCCATAATACGCTCATCACTTGACATTTTAGCTGACTACCAAGCCTGGAATTTTTATGACTGGAAATCAGATGGGGTTTTTTGAAAGGATAAGAGTTTAAATGATGGTGGTGTGGGGAAAGGCTTAGACTGTATTTTTATAATACTTTAAAAGCCCAGTGGTCCAAATATTTTAAGTGCTGTACTGTCAAGCTAAAAGACAGTAGCAAAGTCTCACTTTGGATGTATAATTTACAATAAACATGATAACCCGCAGTGTATTTAGCACCACGGAAGTGGTAATGTACAAGGTTGTATGTGATGTTTCTCATAATCTAGTTCAGAATTACAAAACTAAACCAAAGTGTGTCTGTGGAATCAAAATGTTAGATTGCCTGCAGAATTGCTTGCTTTCATTGCATCACCCTGTGGAGGTAATGTGTAACATAAATTAAAGTAATAGTGGGTTTGGGTGACTTCTTTTTTCTTACAGAAAATCGTATGTGGTCATAAAATGAGCAGTGGTGTATTTATCAGTCTGGGAAGGGGAAGAAGGTGATGAATGTCTGTCATCAAGTCTCTAAAAACAAATTTCTGCTCAGGTTTAAGTTTTTATTGATGTTTTCAGGTTCCTAAAAACTGAACTTGCTCAGATCATTCTCAAGAAAGCCTTGCAACTGACTTTTAAAACTCTGGAAAAGTTAAAAAATACATCTTGGTAGTTATGATCGCAGGGCTTTACACAAGGTTCCTGAACAATTCTGGTGCTTCCATTATGAAATATGAAGTGAGTGGGCAAGTATTGCATGGCGGCGTCTTGGCAGCACTTTGCTTACATACACATTTATTAATACTCCTGGTTCCTTGAAGCACAGAGATCAAGTTTCCAACCTGCTGTTATTAAAAGAGAAAAACCAAACTTGGAAAGGACAGATTAGTTCACTGAACCTAATTGGAAAAGCATTTCATTAGAACAGGTCAAAAACCTAGTCAAAGAGGTCTGGCAGTCATGGTCTAATGGTACATTAGGGAGCGCTTCTCACTAAGTATGGTCTACCCGTTCCTTAATTAAAATGAAAATGATTTAAACTGCTATTACTTTCCTTTGCTGTTTGTTTAACATAATTAATAAAAGTATCTAATTGTTGGAAAATTGACAAGGTTCTCTCATAAAAGATTGCTCTCAAAAATAACTAATAGCTGAGGTCTGAAAATGTTGGGCTTTTTAATGACGTCTTTAAAAATCCATTGTCATTTGAATGCACCAAGATAGCTCCTGCTTTCGTGAGATCCCTTTTCCTTGTTACTGGACTGAGTTCCAAATGGGAAAAAGTGACTTTGCTGGAGCTCATTTGAAGAAGACTCCAACAGCTAATTAGGCATACTTCAAAGAATACCTTAACAGGTAATCTTGTTAGGCAAGGAATTAATCTATTAAGGGAAGAGTGAAAAAACAGAGGCTAGTCTTGGGAGTAATTTGAAAAGTTGCTGAAGAAAAATCTTTGGCAAATATTAAGATTGTGTGCAGGAGCTGGGAGCTGACAGGAGGTGGTGTTTGAGAATAAATTCCATATAATCTCTGATTGCAGTTATCAGGAACCGTTTGCTGGAATATATTTTCCTTTTATTGCAGGGTCAGAGGATTACAGAAGTAAATTCACTGGGAAGTGTTTCATGGACCTTGTCTGTCCTGAGAAGTGTCGCTGCGAGGGAACAATTGTAGACTGCTCTAACCAAAAACTCACCCGATTACCCAATCACCTTCCTGAATATACTACTGATCTGTAAGTGCTGGCACTCCAAGATGTGCTCAGTAGGGCATGTTGGTTTTCCTAGTTTTTAAAGCCTGTAAAAGGGACTCAGACCAATTCCAGGCACCTTCTACTTTAATCCCTGTGTGAAAAGGGGGAAGTTAATTTTATTTCAAAGGAGCACCACAACTCTCTTATTTCCTTAGCATTCATGCCAACAGTGGGGATGAGAAAGGAGCCATGGCCCTGTGCGTCAGCTGCCTGTGTGTGTCTTCTTGAAGTGTTGATCTGTTATGCTGCCCAAGCTGGATGGTTCCTTTCCGTTCTACCTTTGAGTCCTTTGTCTTTGCATGTGGTCATTTTTATTTAAGAAATGGATTAACCCTTTTGAGTTAAATCTGTGATCAGGAACGCATTCTGTCTCGGCAGTGCCTGCTACTTGGGTGAAACGGCTGTCACTAAAACTAATGTATTGTTAAGCTTTAAGTGATTTTATGAAATTGATTTGCTTTTAGAGATTCTTCATCATTGTAAACATAATATACTGCTAAAGAGAGTATGAGAAAACATGTTTATTGCTTAATAACTAGAGAATTTGGTTCTTTTGTTATATTAGTAGCCCCTTCAAACACAATTCTCTTTTTGTGTAAGTATTCTACTCATTGTACTTAAGGTATTCTATTTAAACCCCCATAAAATTGTTGATCTGAAGTTAAGATAGAGAGACATCCAGAAACACAGTAAAGTCTCTACATAAAAAAATGGAGCTACATGTAATCAGAGAAAGAATTTTATATCCCAAACCTGCCAAGATAGTGGCCTTTGCATTAATTTTGAAGATCAGCAGACTTTGATGGGAAAGGACCTGAAATCAGATCCCTTCTGTTTACATGGAACACATCTCCAATTGCATGTCTTCTGTAGCACAATGCATGAGGGAGGTTTAGTCACGCAAACAAGGCTGTGTAATGGTCAAGGTTAATAATCCCTGATTTGGTGTATTGGAAGAAGGCATTCTGACACTGTCCTTTGGCATTCGCTCTTAAAGGCATCCTAACCTTTTACTATATATACACTTCTATGTTCCCTTTCCTTCAAAGATAAACTCTTTTCACTCTAGGAGTCTGTGAGAGACGGCAGACAGTGTCTTGCTTAAGAAAGGTCATAGTTCTTTGTGTGGCAGCCCTGTATGTCACAGAGGTATATCTACAGATATCTGTGAAGTATTAAATGTCTCTTTGTTTGTTCCTATCAGGCGTTTGAATGACAATGATATTTCTGTTTTGGAAGCTATTGGACTCTTCAAGAAATTGCCCAACCTCAGAAAAATGTAAGTTTGAGTCACTTGCTTGTTAGAATACATGCTACCTTGGATTATATGGAGGAAGGGATGATTTTTTATTACTGCAGTAGCAGAAATCACTTTTTTAATGTGAATTTAAGGAAACTGAATGAGTTGCCTGTTAGATGGACAGACCTGGTTAAACCACAGTGTCAGACGAAGATCCCTAGGCTGATATTTCAGTATTCTTTAGGCTATATGTCTTAAAGTCTTCGACTCATGAAGACTAGAAAGGGAATTCTGCCCCAGAATTTATTCAGATGTATGCTTATTGTTAGAGATGGCTGCAAAATTTAGCATTTTGGTTTTGTCTTTTGAAGGTATTGTGCAACTCCAGGTAGTGTGATTGTTTCAAATTGCCAAAGGAAAATAATATTACAAGATATATACGATGGCAGCTTTTTCTGATCATTATTGTTTTAGAGAGGAGAATCAATGAGCTAATTTAGAGATTAGTCATTCAAATGTATCTGTATAATTCTGTTAACAGCCTAAGTCCTGGCACTGTACAATATATATGTTTAATAAGACCTGTGTTTTGGAAAGAGGATAATATGGTAGATATATCCTGATAGTCTTCTAAATGGATCTACCAGTTTACTTTCAGTAAGATTTTAGTGCTAAAGTCAAGGTAACTTAGGGAAACCAACCAACCAGGCTTTTTGTTCTGCATTCATTTCACGTGGTTTCTGCCATCTGGAGCTTCCTAGCCATTTGAATGCGTGTAAGATCTCAGGGGCTTTGGATACAACGGTAGTGGATTCTTACACCAGTTTTATTTCTGCAAGAATTTCAGATGCAGCACTGCAGGTTTGGGAGCGGGGGTTGTATTTGTGCCAGTACAGGCCACCAGACTTGGGGAACTAATCATATACATTAGCCTTGTATTTTATGAATGATCCATAAGTTGTAGCTACAGTGTATTTAGAAAAAGTAGTTGACGTTGTTGAAGTGCTCCGTTGTCTATGTAAGTAGATAGTAAATGGGAAAGAAAAATGCATGGTATATAAAAGTACACACAAATTGGAAAGCATCTATCCTCCTCAAACTTACATGATTTATGTTTTGAAAATTGGAGAGGTGTGATAACTGGAATAATTTCTTTCATTTTATTTAAAACCTACCATAGGCAAGTTATGGTGCTGTCCTTCCTGTTCCTGTCAATCATTCAGGTGGGAGGGATGCTTTGACAGGGTTGTGTTGTTATACATAAATGCAACATGAAACAGTTATGAGAGGTTTTTTTAAGAGTTTGCTTCCTGTGAAACAAAAAACCTTTCTGCTCTGTTCTTGGTAAGCTGTGAGAACTGAGGTGTACAGGTGCAGTTCAAATGCTTGGCAAAACCAAGTTGTGCCCTACACCTCATAAAAAGTGTCTCTCGTATCGATCTTTAGTGGCAACCTCCAAGCAGAGGCTCTTGAGGTAATCTTTGTAGTTGAGCTAATTTCTTTTGTTTTACCTGATGTTGTAAAGAAGTATCTCAATTTGAATAAAGGGGTTCTCTGAAAAGGATGTTTTTTCCTGTAAGCAGAGCAACATTTGAACTATAACCTTACTCAGTAGCTTGATCATTAAAAAGCCAGATTAGACATCTGTTTTCTAATTCTCCTAGTTCCATTTTGTGAAGGAACAGGGTCATCAAGAAAAAACAAACAAGCAAACAAACACTATTTTCCTTCTGTGTTGTTATTTGGCCTTTACTAAGTATCCTTCTGCTAATAATAGAGTTCTCCATTGTGCAAGAAGGGACATGTAGGGAAATACCAGTGGATGGGATTGCTGCTGCTGATGATCCTAATGTAGCCTCTGTGTGTGGCAGAAATGTGATGCATGTGCTCTTCATTAAGTCTTACTGCTGCTATTAAATTAAGGAGGAAGAATAATGATAACCCCCATTTTTCAGTGTATGTAAGGGACAAGAAATTTTACTGTTATTTGATTGGCAATATTGACTCTGTCTCATCATATTCCTTGTCTGTTCAAGTGTTAAAGGAAAACAGCAGGTGGAAGAATCTGTCTGGAAATTGCATTGTTTCCTAGGCTTAAGAAAACAGTTCAGAGGTTTGCAGTGGCAGACCATTAGCGTAAAACACCTTTTTTTTTTCCTTTTTTTTCTTTATTTAATCTCTGTAATCCTCTTTATTCTGAATTGAATCTGAATATGTGGAATCTGGATATCTGAATGGGCATTTGAATTGTTGCCCTCTGATTGTCTTCAGTTCAGTTTAAGACTAATGATAGATCCGTGTCAAAAAAATTTGCAAAGAAACTACTTTGAGTACTGCAATTCCACTGTGGCTAGTAAAGCTCCAGCATAATTCCAGAGACAGAGGAATTAGCTCTTCCTTCCTCTTGATGGGTGTTTCATCTTGGTGCCTCCTCATCTTACATTATGCTTAAGTCTAGCTTTGGTTTATCACATAAATAGTCTGAGGTGGTCTGTAAATTGGACCTTAAGGAGGATTCAGATTTTACTTGCACTCTAGGCGTACGCTCCCATTTGTTCTTTTGTCACTCAAACTCCATCAGTTGTCTGTGTCTGTATGTGTGTTGTGGCATATCACAGCGTCTTCGGTTTTCTAATAAGATTCCAAAAGGAAGTAATCATAGATTTATCATTGACATATTAGGATTGCTCCAGTGTCTATATGTGACAATAGGCTTTAATTATATATTCACATAGTAATTTTCAGTTAGACTCTCGTCCCAGTCCCTTGCTAGGTTCCTCATCTCCTGATTCACTGTGGTTTCTATTCTCACCGTGTGTTGCCTCAGCATAAGGCCAGTGTCGTGTCCCTCTTCTCTCTGCCTCTCTCTAGCCACTGACAAAACTCCTGCTCTTCTCGCTCAGGCTCCCTTCCTCGCCCCCATGCACATTTACTCTGCTGCATTGCCTTGAGCTGTTTTTATAGCCTTCACAGACCTCCCTGGGGCCCCCTCTCTATCCAGCCAAGGACATTACTTCTACTCTAGCAGTCCCAGGCAGTATTAAGATACTTGGATAGAGAAATGTGCCCAGTCCCAAACTGGACAGTCTGTAGCTCAGTGTCCTGCACCGTCTTGAGAGACTTTGGAAGATGTCATCTGAAGAAGAATCTGAAGGGAAAAAATCTCTGGAAAATTAGCTCCTAAAGTTCAGATTTTCCAAAAACTATGTCTTGCAGTCTCCATGGATAGTGGCAGGAATCTTAAATCTCTTTGTTAAAGACTAAGAATTCTGCCAAATCCTAACAGATTTTCACAGGGAAGATGTATCCCTTGAATAAAACACCTATGTGGTATTTAGCAATTAACAAATTTGAAATTAGGATTTATTTGAGTGCTTAGGGCTTTTCACAAAAAAGATTATCAGTTTTGAGATATGAGAAAAATGGTAGTTTGGTTACCTTTATTTCCTGCAATAGGTGAACTTCGTTATTTTGTTTTAAAAAAATAAATAAAAAGTATCTACCTCTAAACATGAAAAGGACATCTGACAGTTCATTCTTTTAAATCTTGCCAATGTTATAAAGTAAGCATTAAAAAAAAAGTGTCAGACCACTTTTGTAATAAGTGGTACTGCCAACCCCACCTTTAATATATAATTAGCTTTTGGGGTGTAATTTATCTGTAAATATTCCTCCTAAGCTGAATCTTATTGTATGAGGTGTCAGTCCAGGATTTAATACATTTTAATGCAAAATAAAATTGAATTTTTGATATAGAAATTTAAAGGTCACAGATCCATAATACAAAGTTATGCCACGTTTTATTTAGGAATTAAATTGCTAAGATTACGCTGCTGGTTTTTAAAAGGTTAACATGTCTGCATGTGCCTTTTTTAAAAAAAACATCAACTTCAATAATTAGCTGCAAAATCCCATATATATAATGCTATTTTCATAACTTAAATTTTAATCCATTTTTATATTTGATGCTTTTTACAGTAGAATAAAAAAGTTGATGTAGATTCCTGTAGACAGATCTAACCTGATCCAGACGTAATTTACTGGGTTCTCCAGTGGGTTTTGCAAAATGCCCTGAACTTTGTGTTGCTTTCATTGCGTTCTAACCTTATTACCTCACCTGATCTTGCAAGTGTAAAGGGATGACTTGTCTCTGAAAGCGAAAGTCACGTTACAGTAACTTCCAGGCTCCAAGAACTATGTTGCTAGTATTTTGCAGGGTGATTAGAAAAGAGCAATTTGAATCTGCTTGAAGTGCAGGACAAATACAAGAGTGCGTTTCTGAGCTCCATAAGAGTGGGAGCAGCTCCATAGCTTCGAGTTTTGGGGGTATCCTATCCCTGTGAGATAGAAAGGCTCCAGGACCTCCTGCTCTCTAGCCCTAGGAGCTGGAAGTTTCTGCCTTTCACAGAGGAGCGTGTTGCCAGTGGGAGATCTCACTCAACACAGCAAGATCTTGCATCAGGCAGGGGTGAGAGGCAACACTACCATTCTCAGAGGTAAGAGTTCTTTGCTCACAGCAACTACCACATTCAACATGAAGCAAACACTGGGGACCCCATGACTCCCTGGGACTACCTCAGGTTGTTAATCAGTGAAAAAACCCTACAGTGCTTGGGGACTTCCATGGCAGTGAGAGCCTGGAGGGGTCTTCTGGCTATGGCAGACAGGTTCAAGCTCCAAAACCACCTGGAAGCCTAACTAAGTGTGAGCACAGAGATACACTTGCTTGCTGAAATAGGATGCTGACCCATAGGGAGCGGCTGCAGTTCCCAGATGTCAGCTCCAGAGCCTGCCCACTCCCCGGTGCCTATGGGAAATCAGTGGGACTGGCCCTTCCCACTGAGGTCCTGGAAGCTGTTTCTGCAGAGAAAAAATTGGCAATACACTCACATTCAAAATAAAAAGGTGAACTGCCATACTTCATGCACTGCTGGGGAGAAAGGGGACTGACCTCTTTTCTCAGCGAATAAGAACAATAAAAAATATTTACCTCAAAACCTGAAAGGGACATCGAACAGTTCATTCTGTTAAATCTTGCCGAAGTTACAAAGTGAACACAAAATATGGTCTTATAATAGGAAGTGTCAAGCAGTCTTGGCAAGAGCTGGTACTGCCAACCCAACCTCTAGTATGTAATTGCCTTTGAAGGCTTAATTTGTCTGTAAATATTTCTCCTACATTGAATCGTATGGAGTGTTAGCCCAGGATTTAACAAATTTTACATGCAAAATAAAATTGAATCATGATAGAGTTTGCAGACTAGAAGTCAGTTTCAAAAACATAATCTCAAGTTTCTTGGGGAGGTAAAAGTAGTTTGTGTCCTCAGAAACAGCTGTTACCTGCTGTTCTTTCCCCTAAGCATAAGTTTTGCCATGGCAGTTGAAGCTGCAGTCATCTGTCACTTGTTATACAGAAATTGACTTTATTTTCTGGAATTTATATTGTAGACAGTGTTGTGGTACACAACATTTGGGTTCATCATGTGCCCCTTTTTTTCCAGTGAGGCCATCAGTCTGCTCTGCCGAATGAATGTAGGAGTGTCACTGGGTGTACTTCGGTCTGTAGTATTTAAAACTTTCGGTGCGATCCTACTTCTGAGAACAACTCACTGTAAAAACCAGCCAGACTGTTGGTAAAACCTGTAAAACCTTCTCAGCATCCTCCAGAGGAATGCAACAGCATTGGGATTTTCCTGCTAACATGTACTTAAAAATTCCAAACACGTCCCCAACAGACAGAAGTATTCTAAGGAAACCCTCACTCGGAACAGGCTTTTTGTATGATAAAACTACAAGGTTCAAGGTGAGACCAAGCAGAGCCTTTGCAGTTGGACTGCGCTTTGGTGGTGGTTCTTGTGGGAAGTGTGTCGGTAACGCAGTGACAAATAGCATGCTGGAATGTTAAAACCGACCCAGCAGGTACAGCAGGGTGAATGGTTCTGTTAAGTCTGAATAGAATCCAGCTTGTTCTGTGTTGAAGTTATAAGCTCAACAGAAATAATATTAGTATAAACTTTAGCCATAAAGAAAATAAAATCTGACTGAAAAGTGAGCTGTGTGAACAATGTCACCTTGATAGCTTCTCAGATCTGTTCATTTCCTATTCACAGCCCCACATAAAGTGGGGCTTTCCGAAAATTTCTTTTGACCTCTTGCTGAAAATAAGTCTGGAAATAGGATTATACGTTACCACCAGGGTAAATCAGGGAGTCCTTAGGGGAACAATAACCTTCCTTGAGTGACCAGGTTTGACCATAGGTTCCCATTTGGGTCCTGCCAGAGGGCGTAGGTATCTTGGGAAATACTCAAGACTCATTTTCTTTTCTACTGTCTTCCAGTATTTCAAGAAGAATTCATTTAGAAGCTTAGCATTGCAAGAGGATGGGGCTTTTCTGTAATGGGAGTTTGCTGTAAAGTCTGTCAGAAGATTTTTTTTTTTTTTTAAATTAAAAAATAATAAATTCCTTGTCAAGTGCTATGATCATATATGAAAGATTCTTTTAGTGCTTGGAAGGATGGAGTAGAGTTCTCTGAGTTCTGAGCAGGCAAAAGTTTCACTGCTTTCATTTTTCAAGATTTGTATCAGCTGATTATTTTTGATGATAATTCTAGACTAAAAAGTATGTAATTTTTCATGTTTATTATTCTAGTAGGTCAAACTTTAAGGAGGATACATTTATTTATTTTTTTTTTTAAGTGAATGAGTGCTGTCATCTGCCATTTTTTTGGTTGCAGTCTGGTTATGGGAAGCTTTAATTCAGGAAGACAAATAAGGAAATCCAGGTTGGCAGAACATCTGCTTTGACAGTACTCCAAGCAGGATTGTGAGGCAGTGTCGTCTTTACCTATTTATTATTGTAAAGCTTGTCTTTTCTCTGCCTTGCAACTTTGATTTCACCATAGCATCTAATCTTGGATTTTCAAATCTTTTGCATGGGAAAGTTATGTACAATTGGCTTCTTCTGAAACTGCTAGCATGTTTTTGGATAATTTTGTGTTGTTGAAATGATCAGGTGTTATTAACTCAAATGAGTGACATTCCCTATCTACAGAAGTTCTTTGGCAGCAATTAAAATTCAGATGATTTTGATTGTATAAAGGTACAATTCCTTTGCAAATTATGGCCAGCCTTTTTCTCCAATATTTGCTCTTTTTTGCCTTGATTGTCTAATCATCCATTAAAATTACACCTATGTTTTAATATATGTGACTAAATACCTTTTAGATGGTAAAAACTAATAAAACTTTGTAGCTACAAGTAAAGGTCAATTTGCAATCTGTGAATTGAAAGTCAAAGTCTTTGCGTATTATAGTAACTTGCCCTCCCTTCCCACCACAAACATTTACTTATTTTTTCATTTATTTTTGTGCAAATATGTGTCATGGCATGATCTTTACCAGGAAAGGGATCATTGGGAGCATTTATTTATGCCAGCATTCAAAAGAGATGCTGAGCTCTAAACATTGCCACTAGAGAAATAGCTGAGCCCCAAAATTAAATGCACATGTCAGAATATCCTTCCTTGACTTGCTTTGACACTGAACATAAACCCCTCCTGTGAGTGTTAGCACAAAGTACTAAACTTCTGGAAAGCAAAATCTACATGTAAGTATTTCTGTATGTTTTTATGTTATTTTTGGCTGATTGCTGGCATACTCCTATTCTTTCTGATCACAGAATGCACAAGAGGTGATGGGCCACATGCTGTCGGGCCCATTATCTGACAGTTGTTCAGCAGACATAAACCAGCGTACTCAAGTTTCCCACATGAAACATATATCCAAGACTCAACTTTTTTTTTTTATTAAGTGATGACTTCTGCAAAGAGCAAGACCTGCATTATTTCTATCAGAGGCCAAGCTGTCCTGTTGCCATGTCTTCTGTCAACTTTTATCCCAACAAGATTGCCTGTTCTTCTGAGCAGGGTAGCCCAGGTGTTAATCTGATAGCTTGTCATTTGTTTTATATCACCTGGAATTGGATTTTGCAACTATTACTCATGCTGCGTGTGTACTGGGATCATTTCTAGAGTAAAGTGCTATTCGGTATGAGTAATAGTGCTGGAATTTGGCATCTTCTTGGGAGAAAGAGCATGTCTTTTCCTTTCTCTTTTTTGTTGTAGAGAGTAAAACAGAGAATGGTGTTTCCTGTAATAAACCTAAGCAAATAGGATTATTCATCATAATCTATATGAGGAGTCATAGGAGATGCTTGAAGGACTGAGGCCCAAGATTTTAATGTACTTAAGGCCTTTTATATAAATGTTTTAAATAATTAAATGCCATTTATTTTTATGCATCTCTAATGACATTTTATCATTCAGAAGTTTTCTGTTCACTGGGTTTTTCACAAATATGAAATATTCAAAAGATTAATTTTGCATTTCATCAGAACTTCATTTGACTTTGTAGATTGATGTTTTCCAATGTTGATCTATAAGCAAACATCTTGAGACTGTATAGGCAGATTAAATATTTAGAAAATAGTGCTGTATATTGCGGTAGCTGTGCATTGAGAGTTAAATGATACTCATTTCATTTTGAGTGGGGTGTTAAATTTAAGTGCCTGGGAGTTCATGAGGGCACATATTAAACTTTGTATCATACATGCAGTCACACAGTTTTGTATTATATTACTCCAGTGTTAAGTTTAAAAAGAGTAAAGGTCCTGGTATGCTCAATAAAAGTGGCCCATATTTCAATGTGTGGTACATATTTCAATGGTAGTAACATTAACTGATTCTTGCCAGATGAGCACCCAGTCCCAAGCATGGTCCATAACTTCATGGACATAAATCAGATGTTAGCAACTCCCACTTATTTCATCCCTGAGACCCTTATAAGCAAGAATGACATGAGGTGTAACAGCTGGTAATTCCATTAATTTACATACTCTTGATATATCTGATATAATTGTGGTTTTGATGAGTGAGGGGGAGCTGTTTTTAAGTACAGTAGGTATACTTTTGAACTTCCATATGCTCTCCTTGCTGAATGAATGTCTCTCTAGATAACCACTGAAAAGCACATATTCTTCCTGTCTTTCTCCTTCCAGTGTGATGATGTGTTTGGAATAAAACACTAATAATTTTCTTATTGTGACTGGTTGTGTCCTTCCAGAAATCTAAGCAACAATAAGATCAAGGAGATCCGAGAAGGCACATTTGACGGAGCTTCAGGAGTGCAGGAACTGATTCTGACAGAGAATCAGCTGGAATCAGTGCATGGACGAATGTTTAGAGGCCTCACAGGGCTAAAGACACTGTAAGTGCAAAGACCTGTCTTTCTCTGTTCCTCTGTAAGTTGAGTGGGAGTGCTAAAGTTCAGCAATGCCTGCTAAAATACCTGTTACTAGACAACAAACTCTAAGGCAGGGTCTTGTATCACTGTCGTGAAGTCTTCAATATATTTCTGGTAGGTTTGAGAGTTATCTGCTATTTCTGTGAAAAAATAGATTTTCAAGAATTTCAGAAGTAACATGATGGTGAACCTGTCATGGGTCAAGTTTGGGCACTTTTAATAATTCAATACTTTTGTTATTTCCTGTGGAAACAAGGCACGTAGTAACAAGTTTGATATCTATTAGTCCATCCTCCCACTCCCCCTTCACCCAAATTGGAATTACTGGTCTGCTTAAACCAAACCTCAGAGTGGGCTAGGAGCTTAAAAGATTTTTAATATCCTACAAACTATATGAAATCAGCAGATAGGGAGAGAAGAAAGACAAGTTATCGCTGCCACCAAAACAGGTATAGCTAAGCAACTTTAAGGTGGACATCACCAAACTGTTACAGGTCCTGCTGACAGAAGGTAGCTGGCCACTCACTCTGTACCAGGTATAGTAGCCCGTGAGCATAGGCATGGCTTTGGACTAGCCACAACATGCTCGTTCTTGCCCACACCAAGTACCATAAAAATCATGTGTGGGTGTACTATTAATGTGGTTGTGGTTCAGGAGAGTGTGAAGGAGACATAGAGCCCAAGTACATAGGAAGTCAGTTTGGTATTACTTTTGTGCTTAGACAACCTTTTTAATTTATTTCTGAGAAATAACACTTAGCCATACACTCATAGTACCTAACACTAATTTATTTTCATGTTAAAAGTTACATTGGAAGAAGGATCACAGACGAGATTTCAAGATGGTGTCTAATCCACCCCATCCACCACCCTGAGAAGCAGTCAGGGACTAGGCTGCTGGTGACAGTGAAGACTCATGCCAGGCAATATGTATGATCTATATGTGAAAAATATCTCTCTTGCACAGTCTTTCCTGCTGTAGAAGGGAACTCACTTGACTGGGTGGATGCTGTCAGTAAATAGACTCTATGAATCAAAATGCAATTTAAAATCTACAATTTGTTCATTAGCAGCAAATACGGTGCAAAGTATCATGGCACAACTACTTCAGTCCTCAAGTATTAAAAGAAATCCAAGTTTCACTTCAAGGACTTTGGTCTGTAATGACAAATAGGGAACTTTTCATTTGCTGTTCCTTTAACATTTTTTTTCTGTGGTTACAGCCATCTGTTCTTTAATTTAATGTATGCACTTTACTAAGGGATTTGAAAATACTGTCCATAGATACTAAATTAATTTTTATACTATAAAGCAGCCTGTGGCAGTGCTCCTAAGGAAAATTCAGCATTTTTTAATAAAAAGATGCTTAACATTCAAGCTATCCTGCTGACCTGAACTGCGTTTCCCCCTAGCTGATAAAGCAGTCTAAATATACACAGCATGATATGAGGATCTGTAAGTCTAAGTTTTCCTTCAGGAAGGGCACACAGTGCATGGTGAACCATGATACGAAACCAAAGGTTTTGGCTTGAGGGATGTGTATTTCTATCCATTAATTAACTTTCTTTGAGCATTAAAATTGTGATCTTTTACAAAAAGGCCGTGTTGCACAGGGTCATGGTCCAATTTTTAAAAGACTGTGTGTTTCTTGAAAAGTAATAAATTGCTGTGCAAGATATATTGGTATCCAAATTTGATCATCCCATCTTGCAGTACTGCTGCCTGGCACTTTACATACAGAATTGAGAAAATGTTTCCTACTGCTAATAAGCCAGTAAGGGTCTTACTTCTCTTATTTACTACCCAATTCATTTTAGAGCTTGTGGTCTTGACCTGGCTTTCAGGCAGCTTAGTATTCCCTGTGTAAGGTGTGTGTGTCTCTGTGCCCTGTGACTCTCTTTTGACACAGTTTCAACCCAACTGCAATACCAAAACTATTGAGACCATAGTGCCTGTGATGGTAACTGTACATAGAGAACAGTAATGCAAAAGCAATGTAATGTTCAGGTCTGAAAGTGTTTGTTATTACGCTGTGAATTTCTTCCCAGCCATATCTAATCTCCCTTTGGTGTTTTTCAAGTATCTATTGATGTAGCATCTAAACACCCAACTGGCAGATACCAGTCTGAGATTTAGATCCAGACCTCTAAGGGAGTCTCAATTTTCATTGTTCGCTGCATGAATTTGATACCAGCAAATTAACCCTCCTCAATTTGGAGGATCAATTCACTGGGACAGAAACATAAGCTGCATATATTTTGTGGATTTTTGGTAGTGTGCTTTAATTACTGAATAATTTTTCACGTAAGTAGGAATATCACAACGGTGTAGTGGTGTTTACAGACGCAGATGTTGGTCGGCATGCAGTGTAACAAACACACATGAACCTTTTTTGCTATGGAGTGAAACAAGATACTACAGTCTTTCAGATTAATTGGGCTTTATTGTTGAGTTCATTGTTACCATAACAACTCAGGGAGATGTATCTTCCAAAACATAGCACTGATTCAGCTGGTACAAGCACTGAGCAAAGGCCATTTTATAGGGTGGTTACTACTTTCTGTCTTGTCAATTAATTATTGTAACGACATTTCAGAGTTTGCGTTAAGTCTGGAAATCTTCCCTAAGTTATCCCTTGATTTCTGCTGAGGATGCTGTTTCCTGCTGTGCTTTTGCAGTGTGGATTACAAAAAACCATCCATGACAGGAGTAGAAGTAATGCAGCTAGTATTGTTATTGTCACACATTTCTGGCAGTCTTTCTCAGTTGATCTCTGAAATACATCTTCACTTACTCTCAGATATTTACTAAATTAAGGCTTTAGTTTTTATTTCAAGTTTGCTACTGGTTATAATGTTAATTGCATACTACTTTCAGATGTGGAGCTACTGTCAGCCTCTTATGTTGTGTGAAAGAAATGCGTTTTAGATTCAGAAGACAATGTTTACATGAACCTAGCCCTCCTGTAGCTATGTTGTACTTCAGCAATCAATAAAAATAGAGTCCAGTGCTTGCCAAAGCATCTGTTGATGCCCTAGATAAAGAATGTCCTATCCCAAAATTATACCCACTTCCAGTAGTTCCTAATTCCCTGTTTTAATCCTTGCAGGATGCTGAGGAGCAACTCTATCAGCTGTATAAACAACGACACCTTTGCTGGACTGAGCTCAGTGAGGCTTCTTTCTCTGTATGACAATCACATCAGCACTATCACCCCTGGAGCCTTCAGCACATTAGTCTCTTTGTCTACAATGTAAGTTGTCTTTTTATGGTACAAACATGTCATGATGCTATTATTCTGTGTTTTCCTTTTAAGAAGACAAGGTTTGACTTTCTGAATCAAACTACTTATTGTTCATATATGGAAAACCTCATTTAGG